TATATATATATATATATATATGTATGAGGATATATATCCGTCATCCACAATCCGTCATATTTAGAAAACTTTTACTCTTCTAAATATATCTTAGGTTGCATAAGTCGTGTGCGTGCGCGCGTGTGTGTGCGTGTGTGTGTGTGCGTGTGTGTGTGCGTGTGGGTGTGCGTGTGTGCGTGCGTGTGTGTGTGCGTGTGTGTGCGCGTGTGTGTGTGCGTGTTATGATACATAAATTAAAAAAATAAAATCCAAGTTTATATTTTAAATATATGACATTTCAGTGATTCGATCGTCACTTTGAATTTAAATTTTGATAATAAACTTAAAATTACACACAGAACTCCCAAAAATTGTCTTCATATGAAACGCATCTCTTTTGGGAAACTCAGAGGTACGAAAGGGTTAACATAATTTATTTCAATTTTATGTTTATATGTGTTCGACAGATTTTTCTGGTTTAAAATTAATACCGTAAAAGACCATAAAAGACCGTAAAAGATCATAAAATTTATATTTATCCATAAGGAACTGAATTTTCTTTTTTTAGCCACAGAAAATAGTTTCTATCATAAGCTTATTATAAGAATTAAATTATTTTGACCGTAATAAGTAGTTTATATTGATTAAATAATTTTGTATTTTTTGTTTACTACTAATAGTAAGATTTATACCATCAGTTCAGCGTAAGAATTGGATAGTTTATGTTTACGATTATAAATGATTCAGCGAATCTACCATTAGATATATTTTTTGCTTTATAATTTTAATTTTAATGGTATTATTTTCCCTAAGAATGTGATTTATTTTGTGAACTATCTATATTATATCAGATAAGTTTAATTATTAAAGAGATATTAAATTACCGTATTTACAAAACAATAGGCCTGAATCGGTATTGATTTATGAAGATGAACGCATATATATACAAAAAAGAGAAATTTAATAATTAAATAACTGAAATTATAAGAATGGTCTTATTTGATATTGAAATTAATGGGTGATCAATTAGCAAGAAACAAGTATGGACATTATTTTATACCAAGCTTATCTCGCTAAGCGTAAGGGATATAAGGGAATGTTGACGGAAGTTCTTTTCCAGCTTCAGATTTATGCATTACAAAGTTCGCGAATCGTTACTAAAAAAGTGAAGCAGAGTTTCGCCTAATATCACAATTTGTAAAAATTGATTATTAAAATTTATTATATTATTTACGTTGTGACAATACTTGCGGAAACTATGTACATTTCGAGCGCAAGTGCATGTATGTTTGTGAATTAACGAAAGCATAAGAGACTGTGTAAATATAGAAGAAATATTATTTTACTTGGAAACTAAACATTTCGTTCTTATCTATTCGCCTATCGAACTTTATTTAGCGATCCGTTTTTGTCCCTCTATTTCCATTTTTCTTCTTTCTTCTCTCTCATTATCTACTATATTTAGCTTATACTGTTTTGTCATAATCTTGTTATGATCATTTCTACAAGAATATTCTCAAATAATTTTCAGTACATTCTCAGCAACATTCTTTGCATCATCATATTGACAGATAATCTAATATTTATCGCCAAAACACAGCCAAAAAAGAAACAGCTATATAAATAAATTTATAATTTTAATCTATAATTTTGCTTCTCCAGCTATAATAGAATTGATGGAATATGTTTTTATTAAATTTGTTTTAAATAATTAATTTTATCAAAAGTTAATAATAAAACATTTAAAAATTGCTTAATAATATATTACTATTAAATTTTTATAATGGTTATTATAATGATTCATATTAAAAAATCCTTTTTTTACTAAAAAGAAATTAATAAAGTTAAAATGTCAAAAGTTTAATTTACTCATTTAATATTAGAAAGTTTTGATGATAATAAAATGAAATCAGGAATAGCTAAATTGTTATATATTATTAAAATATAATGAAAAAACAAAGATTTATAATTGATATGTAGCAAATATAATGTCACTATTTAATTAAATTAAAAGAATGTACATGCTAAAGAATATTCTTAATACAAAGATGTTTATAACAGAAAATGTAGATGTTTTTGAAGATATACTGATTTAATTTAAAAGTTGCATTTTTTTTCATTAGGTTTTGGAATGCAGACTGTTCATCGAGCGATTTGTCCTTCCTTATGGATCTAAAAATCTAAAGATACTTTTTAGATTCAACTGCTTTACGAACAAGACTGAGTTCCGAAATCCATCGAAAAAAAGTGTTGCAACCTTTTAATTGACGAGTGTACAATTAAAGTATAGGTGAGAAAAGTACATCAGTTTGTTACTCTAGGAGAATTCCATAAGTACACAGATCGTGTTAAATTAAAGGATACGCTAACTAAATGGTATAATGTGCTTATTAATATTATCATTTATGAATTAAATATATAATTTAATATATCCCTAGTGAAATTTTTTTTCAGAATTTTTCATATATAATTTTTCAGATTTTTTAATATAATTTTATAACTTTCTCACATTTTTTTGTATGAATTGAACTTCTCAGAAAATCTACATTTTTCCTCAGAATTTTTCATATATATGTTAATTATAAAATATCATCAATAAAATTTCTAAGATTTTTTTGTAAGTACAATTTCTGATGAAATATTATAAAATTTGAAAAATTTTTAAATATTTTTTTTAAATTATAAGATGAGAAATTTCAGAATATTTCAGAATTCACTTGTACTCGGAAAATTCTGAGAGAAGATATAAACTTTTCGAATATTTTTGATTTCTGAATATTTCTAAAAAAATATTCCAATATAAAAATTTTAAAAAAAATTTTCACGTTTCAAATAAATTAATATTAACATGTTATTATTATAATATTAACATTTATACATTAATAATATAAGTTATGAATTATAAGTATAAAATGAGAAATTTGAGTGGAACAACAATTTAATAATAATAATAATAATAAGAAAACGACATAGTAATAATAATAATAATAATAAACTTAAATAAGATTGACCGTCTTTAATATCGATTTCGAATAGTTAAAATAATAATTGATAATATGTCGCGTTCTTCAATTATTTCCAAATAATTCAATTACTTTTTAAGGTAATTACGCTATATATATTAAGGCTGTATTCGCTTTTACGTTCATAACGCTTTAAGCTGTCGTTTCATTCTTGTTGTTTAGTAAATATTAAACAAGAACAATTGATACTCATAAGCGCTGTGAGTGGTAAAGCGAACGCAATCTAAAAAAGACCGACGTTCTTCTATATAGTAATAGTACACATCTCGTCCGATGTAAATGGAAATTTACCGCTATTTGGTTCGTATCTCCGCTAAATACGTGCCTTGACTTTTTAGTAATTTTTTTCACTTAACATTGTTTTGTTAGTTTTGCCTTATTCAGTCAATCTACTCATCACTGTCTGCAATTATAGTAAGTATGAATATTAATAAAATCATGTATAATATTATAAAATAGACTATAATATAAACAATACTTAACGTTTTAGGTTATGGGTAGACATTGCTGCGTTTTGGGATGTTCCACGGGAGTGAGCCTACCTTCCCACATGTTTCCCAAAGACGTTATCATGATGAATAAATGGAAAAAGGCGATTTATTCAGAGAAAATACAAGATTTAACTGATGAACAATTAAGAAAGTGCGTTGTATGCTACAGACATTTTGCCGATAGTGATTATGAAGCAATGTATAGATTACGAAGATTGAAACCTGGTGTTATACCGTCCTTATATCTGCCAAATAACGGTAATAACAATATTGAAGCAAATAATTGTGAAGACAATGAGATAGTTAATGATCATGATACTGAGACTCATACTTACAGCATTGTAAGTACAAGAGATTCTAAGAGCAAACCATTAGATATAAATGCAATTGGTCAACTTGAAGAAATTGAAATAATAGAAATAAAAAAAGAGACACAACCTGTAATAGAAGTCTTAGAAAGTATTCCAATAATTAGAGAATTATCACAGAGTATTCCAATATATAAAGAAGTATCACAAAGTATTCCAATAAATGAAGAGATGTCACAGAGTATTCCAATAAATAAAGAAGTATTACGAAGTACTCCAATAAATAAAGAAGTTTTACAAAGTTCTCCAATAAATAAAGATTCTTTAAAGTTAGAGCCTTCTTCACCTAAAAATTCAACATCCAACACAAATTCCAGCTTGTCAGACCTGCATAACTTACTGCATGGAAAATGCTTTCATAAATTTACGCCAAAAATGTGGAAGTTGTACAAATTATCATGTATATTAAGAAAGAAGCAAGAAATTGTTATAAAGAGGCAGTTATCATTTCGTGAACGTATAAGGCAAGCTAAGCAATGCAGCAAAAGTACTGCTATAGAAAAGCTATTGTCTTCATTGACACCTATCGAACAAGCTTTTCTCCAGATGCAGATAAAAACGACAAAATATGCCTCTGAGGTATGTAAATGGAATATTACAGTAAGAAAATATCAACTTATGATAGATTGATCTAATTTTATTTATAGGATAGACATTTTACACTGACTGAAAAGATTGCTGCTTTATCTATCATGAAACAATCTAGTAAATGTTATCAATATCTGACACAAGTTTTCAATCTGCCCAGCATAGAAACATTACAATCTATACTTCAGACAATTAATATTCATCCAGGTCCAAATAATTTTATAAATAAATATCTAAAAAAGAAAGTAAAATTAATGAAAGAGAGAGATAAAGTGTGTCTTTTAATGTGGGACGAAATGTTATTGCAACCTCACGTAGATTATGATGCAAAAAAGAAACATATTCTTGGTTTTGAAGATTTTGGCAATAAGCGGAGAGCAAGATTTGCTGATCATGTGTTAGTTTTTATGATTCGTGGCGTACAAAGTGGATGGAAGTTTCCACTGGCGTATTATTTTTGTGATGGTGCAACAAAAACTGATCAACTTATTGAGTGGGTCAAAAATATTGCCAAAATTATAATTGACAGTGGATTGTATCTAGTCGCCTTTGTATGTAATGATGGGAAAAGGAATCTCACAGCTATAAATAAACTAAAATTAGAATCGGCAAGGCTAAAATTGAAACAAAGACAACTATATTGTAAGCATGCTTTTTGTTAAATTATTATTATTATAAATATAAAGATTATAAATATTTGCATTTATTATATAATTTGTTTTAAATAATAAGTTTGAATGTTAAATTATATATATATATAATTGTATTTATTTTATTAAATTATAATTTCATTCGTTATTCTGTATTTCTTTAGATGGTTATGTAACAATAAAAAAGCAAGATATAATTCCATTATATGATCCACCATGTCTTATTAAAAGCATACGCAATAATTTATTAAATAATGATCTTGAGTTTGATGTTGAAGAAGGAGAAGAACGAAAATTTGCATCATGGGAAATCATTGAACAAGCACATCATATGGACTTGACTCATAGTATGTATCGATTAATGCCGAAAATTACAGCAGAGCATGTAATAAGAAGTAAAATAAAGAAAAAAAAAATTAAAAATGCTGCTCAGGTTTTGAGTATGACGATGGGCGGATTCATACATCACCATACCAAACTAGAAGGTATATATTTATATAAATTTAATAAGATACAATTCCGTATGTAATTATTACATATTTATATTATTGTTGCAGATTGCAGAGGATTTAAATCCAAGATCGATTAACCCGGAAATGCTATAAATTCGTCAAATTAAAAACCTAAAGTAGAGCATGTGATGCCATTAATCAATCTTGGATCGATTTAAATCCACTGCAGTCGAAAACGCTATTAATAAGAATTAAATTATGTGATTATATATTAAGAATCATTTATTTTTCATGTGTATGTACATTTTTTAGGGCATGTGAATACAGTGTATGGACCATTAAAAATGCCAGAAAAGAAAGGACGGGATACAGCAGAAATAATACTTTTCTTTGATCGATTGTTTGATTCTGTTAATGGACATACGTTAAAGCCGGAGAAACCGTTAAGAGTTGCCATTTCGCATAACAGTCCACATTTTTCATTTTGGGAGAGGGCAGTAAAGAGACTACAAAGAATGCGATTTGTCGATCGAAAGGATAAGAATCAAATAAGAGATTCGAATGTTCTGAAAAATTGGATTTCTACTATAGGAGGATTACGCAAATTGTGGATAATTTTGAAAGCATACGAATTCAAATGCTTGAAGCCTCGAATTTTAAATTTGGATTCCCTTCAACATTTTTTCGCGCAAATTAGATCCTTCGGCATAAGGAATACCAATCCCACGTGTGCGGAATTCGAGAGTGCTTTTAAAACGTTGCTAATCAACAATTTAACATCACCTCGTACTGTGGAGAATAACAGTGAGAATAAAATAGACGGATCGTTGTTGTTTACGTTAAAAGAGTTTCTTAATCGTAAGATAGAAAGTAGATATAATGACGACTTAATGTTAGATTTGGAAAGGCCTTTAGATGCAACACATGATTATCTTAACATTTGCAATTCTATTGCGGCAAAAATCCTAAATAATTCACGAATCAAAGGATGCGACACATGTAAGAATCTCCTGACAGATGTTACAAAATCTGAATTAGTTAGTAGTAACGATTTGATAGAAACATTTAAGAGTACTGAAGATTTATTAACGTCAAAAATGAGCGGCGTCTGTTATGTGCATCATGCGGCATTAATGTTAGAAACCGAATTGTATGTACAAATGGATTTACGTTGGTTAAATTGTCCACAGCATGATGTTCAGCTTAAAAAATTCTTAGTATCATATATAGTTGCATTTTATATTTGCAAATGGTGTAATAGTATAAACGATATACTAACAGAGAAAGAACATGACGATTTGAAATAGATAACATAATGTGCCTATATTATACGTAAAGTCAAAGCTGTAAATTTTAATAAAATATACAATTTATATCGTTCCATGTTTTTAATTATATTATAATTCGCAATGCAGAATATGAAAAGCGTAAATTATTGTTTATTGCATTTTTTTCTAAGAAAGTGAAACCGAAGGAAACAAATAGAAAGAAAGTAACATTCTCGACATGATGGAAATAAATTTATTTTATGTTTATTTTATGTTATAAATTTATTTTATGTATAAATTTATATTTATACAACGGGAAAAATATAAATTCGTCTCGTCGACGAACTAATACTCGAATGAAAGGAATTTGTAATACATCCTAATCAGTTTACAGTAAAAAATAAAACAAAAATGCTGTATAACATCGAGATTATGAGCATGGTTCTGTCATTAACAGATCCGTTCATAATTTTTACGCATGGTTTCTATGATATAAGAGCACATATTCTTACATCATTATTCTTAATCATCATTAATTAATCTTAGGCCTGATTCCATTATGTAAGAATAATTTTTATCTCAGTTGAATTTAATTTCTTTTTCTAAAAATTAGTAGAAGATAAAATAAATTGAATCGAGATTAAAGTTAATATTACATTGATAGAACATTGATTATCTTAATTAATTATCTTAATCATTATTCTTACATTATGATTTTAAATACATATATTATAGATTCATTGTTTTAAAATTAGACAAATCGAGATTTTTTGATTTGCGATATCGTACTTTCAAAAATCGTAATATTGAATATATCGAAATATCGTAGTTTCGAGAATCGTAGCAACGAATTAGGGGGAAAATAATCTTCAATCTCCAAGATAATAACATAACCTGTATAGCAAGTTTGGATCTGAAATTTTTAATACGAATATCATAACGAATGTCGAAGTCATAATTCATCGAAACAACTATGTTTACAGGCCAATTAACTTTATCGATCTCACGATCAGTTAAAAGTAATTTAACGAATATTCGAAAAATAAGTGCTGCAATTAACACTAACTGCGTAAAGTCTCTATTATACAAGGAATACGGCGATCCCATTAAAGTTCTTCAAGTAACAACGCAAACAATACAACAGCCAATAGGCAAACAAGTAATTATTATTGCAATTAAAGTTTGTCTTTTATCATGAAATTTTAATCGAAAAATTTAATTGAGTTTTTATGGATGTAGGTATCTGTAAAATGGCTACTATCCCCAGTAAATCCAGCCGATATAAATATAATACAAGGAAAATATCCTAGCAGGCCTCCTCTGCCAGCAGTACCAGGAAATGAGGGAGTTGGAGAAATAATTGCAATTGGGTCTGATGTTCAAGGTTTGCATGTCGGAGACAGAGTAGTACCAAATGGTCCTAATTTTGGAATCTGGAGAACACGAGCTAATTATGATTCGAAGGATGTTATGAAGGTGTATATTATTATATCATTTTATAAAGCATATTGATGCATAATTGAAAGAAGAACAGCAACAAGAAATAACAGATTTCAATCCAGAAATTAAGTATTCTGATCCTATCAGAAATCATATACTTATATAATTTTTGATAGATTAAAATCTGTTATTCCTTGTTTCTACAGTCTGTATTTTTTGATTGTATCTCAGGTTTGACAATACATTTGTTGCATATGTTATTTGATTTTATAGATATCAAGTGATATTGATCTAGTTGTAGCCAGTATGATGAATGTGAATCCATGTACAGCATACAGAATGCTGAAGGATTTTGTTCCATTAAAACCTGGAGATACTGTGATACAAAATGGTGGCAATTCTGCAGTTGGTCAACTAGTCATTCAATTATGTAAAATATGGAATTATAAGTCTGTCAGTGTTGTTAGAGATAGACCAAACATACAAGAGTTAAAGGTATAATATTAACAGGTTTTTTAATTTACTATATAAATATATGTACAATATTATGAATATATATATATATATATATATATATACAATATTATGTCTCTGGCAATGTGGGACTTTGAAGGTACAGTCGACTTTTTTTATTATGAATTTTGATAGAGAAGAGTACAGCTTTTTACAATCATTCAGAGATCGTTTTATTTTTACATTTTTTTACGTATTTTTCTTCATAGAAAATCATATCGTAATAATGATGTTACACTTAAGGAAAAATAGGTGTATTATGTGTATGTGTGTGAAAAATAAAGTTAATAAAATTCTTTACATAATTATGAAATCGCTGTCAGATATATATGTTTTGATCATTTAAAAACTAATTCAGAGAGTTGTTGATCCAACTCTGAACTTAGGTTTTAAATAATAAGCATAACAATACGGCGATTTCATATGAATTATGTAAATTATGATGCTTTTCGATTTCCATGAAGTAAAATAAGAAATGTAGAGATAATAAAAATTCGTTAAAGCTTTCACAAGAGAGTATGTAAGAATTTTTTCAGATTTTTATATAGTCCAGAACATTGTAAAAAAAATCTGCACTGAAGTTCAAAGTCTCAGTCTGCTGATGGAAGATGCAAAATTATATATTGTCGACAGAATTAAGAATACATCTATAATATTAGAAATATAAATTATTTAGAATCAATTGACGAGCTTAGGAGCAGACGAAGTGCTAACCGAGGAGGAAGTCCGAAATACACAGTTGTTTAAAAATAAAAAGTTACTTGCACCGAAATTAGCTCTTAATTGTATCGGTGGACAGAACGCAACTGAAATAGTGAGACATCTTGCCCATGGTGGTATTATGGTAACTTACGGCGGTATGTCTAGAGAACCATTAACTATACCAATATCCGCACTTATATTTAAGGTAATCCAACATTCCATTTGTAATTAAAAATTGTAAAAAATATTTGTCAAATTTAATTAGGGCAATTTCAGGACATATCATTCAAAGGATTTTGGATGACAACCTGGACAAAAACAAATATGGATTCTCAGGAGAGATTGGATATGTTTAAGAATTTAGCAAATTTCTTTATAGATAAGAAATTGCAACCGCCACCATATAAACTGGTGCCTTTCCGCGAATATCAAGAAGCTATTGCTAAAGCGCTCAGTTTCGATGGTCGAACAGGTGTAAAGTATATTTTAGATTTAACAGAATCTTAAAATGTTTTTTATACATTTGTTACTTTTTCATTTCTATCAATGGATTTGATAGCATTTAAAATTATCATCTTAGGGTTGTGCAATATGTGTATAAGATTGAAGCAAATTAAAATACTATCTTGTAAAATAGAATAATTTTTCATATGAGAATATACTTATTTCTAGAAATATCGGTGTATAAATATGCCAGAAAATATAGGAAAAATAATTGCAATGCGTTGTATGTTTCAGTTAAAATTTTAAATCATTCGATCTCGTCGAGAAGATCGAGCAAGTCCATACTGCATTTCAAACCTTCGTGCTCGTCCTCGAAAAAATCCGCATATACTGTATCAAGTTTGGCTTTGTAATCTTCGTTCAATTTTGGTTTTCCGTTTTCCGCGTTATTTCGTTTAGCATAGTTTCCTTCGATGTCAGTTTCCTTACTTGCATTATTTACAGTCTCTTCGTCCATGTTTGACAATAAATTAAGCGTAAATGGTCTCTCATAATTAGTTTCCTCAGTTCCCAGCTGAACAGCCAACATGCCTAATTCTGCTTTCGTGCCGCAGTCTCTTACAAACTGTTGGCTGTCTCGCATTGCGCCCTCCGTTAGGCCGTATGTTGGCAAGTATCTATATAAAATAAATAATTTCCATACCATATGATCGGCATATGTGTATTTTTTTTTTATTATATGTTTTCTTACATATTTTTGCCTAATAACGTCTTTCTATCACCAAAAGTATCGAAGGATCCTCCGCAACACGTCTCAGGGCTCACATCTTTAATCCTCATCGTCGCTAGAATGTTTCCGTGCTTTACGTATTTCTCATCGTATTTTTGAGGTACTACGTTAAAGCTAGCGTCGTCATTTTGTAAACCGCGTCGCAGGAGGATTGAAACTCGCACATGGTACGGTTCCAATTCTTTCAGGCAATTCTCCCGTACATTCCAGACTTCTTCGAAAGTCAGGCAGCCATAAAACTGCGCTTTGCAAAGTGGACAAAAATCCTCGTTGAATTGAATATTGTTAAATTAATTGTATTGAATTGAATATTGTTAAATTGATTATATTGAGTTATATACTCACGCTAACAACCATCTGCTGCACCATGCTGACGCACTTTTGTGCATTTACATCGTTGACTATGTCGCGCATTCCGTCTATGTGATTCAGAGTGATGAGAATGATTTCTCTGGGTCCAGTAGCCACCTTCAATTGATACTTCACCATCATGATCATTAGATCGAATAATTTGTCCATGCTACTCCTGTCTAGTTTCATGATGGATGAAAGAGCGACGCTTTCTAAAGTGGTGCGTAACTCCGATATTCCAATCATCGGCGAATCTTCGAAAATCGGCGATAATATTTTAGGATTGAGCAAAGCGGCTGTTACGTCATCTAATACTGTAATTAAACTAGTCTATAATTATATTAGCTTAAATATTAAAAAAAATATTTTTTAATGCTATATATATATTTAATGCTATATATATATATATTTTATTTTGACAATATAAAAATAATTTTCATCAAATCAATTCAATTTTAAAATATCAAAGAATCTTTCCGAAAAATAATATGTGTATTTATATCTGTCTGGTATTTTGATTCAGATTGAATGTACGTAATTTTGATGTCTTAAAATGATAATTTTGATCTTAATTATAAATTTTTTATTTAAAAATTGTTTAAAGATAATACTATATAAAATAATTTTTATTTAAAAATTGTATAAAGATAATATTATATAATTGTATAAAAAATTATCATGTGTGTTGCTATAAAAGATTACCAGTGTAATTATAAATTATATCATTTGTGCAAAAATATTAGCAAAATGGAATATTTTTGAAATATATTCGAAAATATACTTTCGAGTGTATCTTCACCTTGTATTGTCTTGTCGACATCGATCTTTTGCGCCTTCAGTCTTTGTCGTAAAACGTACAACATCTCGCCGCCCATATTTAAATACAGGATGGGTGTTGAATGCAAAGACATTTTTGCAGAAGCGATCTTTGTTCAACAATTATTGTCAGCGATACATGTATCGAATAAGTACACGTACGCCTTACTAAAGCAAGTAAGTCGATGCGTCGTCTTGACGACGTAAGTGTACATAATTATTGCGATCGGTACCGAGACTGCGCGAAAAAATTTACGTGCAGACCTTTTTTAATAGAGACATAAAAATCTTGTACAGAAACGTTTTATTAAAAATTTTATAAGATTCGCAAAAAACTTGAGAGATGTATGTATTTAATCTATTAATAAGTTTTCTTGATGAATATTATTTGATAAGAATTAATGTTAAAACTTATCAAATACAATAAAAAAATCATGCAGCAATATTGTTGCAACCTTGTAATATTGCTAGAATGATTTGTGATGGAAAACAAGTTAAAATAAGCGATACTTAAAAAAATTTTCCCAGAATTTTTTTTATATGTAAATTTTGAAATATTCTGTGAATTATAAGATTTTTTATTTTTTATAATTACGGACAAAATATCATGAATTTTTTTAGATATAAGATTTTATTAAAAATTATAAAATGAAAAATCTTAGAAAACTTAGAATATATGAAGAATTCTAGAAAAAAAATGTATGTTTCCAAATCATTTCTGATAAAAATGTTCCAATTTATATAAAAAAATTATAAAACTTCGAAAACTTTTTAAGAAGTTATAAAATTATTCAAAAATTTTGAAAAAATCAAATTTATATTATATTAAAATATTATGTGAAAAATTCTGAGAAATTTTTTACCAGGGATGAAATAGAAAATCATTTATTCTGAAAGAAATTTTACCTCGCTATTATTTTGACACATCAGTAATTATTTTAGTAATGCAACATGTTACATTATATCCTGTTTAAATCAAATTTCCCGCGTTGTATATAGATATTTGAGTGTTGCCAAATCATCTAGTTGCAGAAAAAAAGAATTACTAAATCAGAGAAATTCTTTTGTTACTAAATTGGCGGGCGTCCAAGAATTCATCCTAACTGAATCTAGTGGCAGCAATTCTGTAAGATAAAAGAGAAAGAAGTTTTCGTATTCTATAATTGTTGGCAATTTAATCGGGTGAGTTTCTTACTATCTACGATGAATCAATCATAAGATTGTCAGTAGAAATGTTGCTTTCGAATGGAGTTACATTCAACAAGTTGACTCACCTGTCTAGTCGTGCATAGATGATGCTCTTTTTTTTTGAATACCGGCAAACAATAACAAATTAAAAAAAAGTATTGTAAATTGTTTCGAAATAATATATATGCAATGTAATAGGTAATATTTAATGGGAAGAACTTACAAGTAAGATGAAAAATTGAACATCTATTTGATATTGCAAATATTAGTATCAAATTATGTTCAATCTATAAATTCTTATGTTGGGGTTAAACTGATATCCAGATGTATGAACGAACGAAAATATTGAAAAAATATTAGAAATACTAAGGAAATATTCTAAATATATGTATTTCTTTTAATTTCTAATGCTTAAAAATTACTATTTTATGATTAAAGCATATTTAGTTTAAAATTACATACAAATAAAAATAAATAACTTACACATGAAATATAAATAATTTAAAACATTTATTAAATTAATTCTCACGGAATAATTTTAAAATGTACGATGTCATTTTGCATAGTGCTGATTATTAAAAAGTTAAATGTCTTTTTTTCTAGATTCTGCTCTACACAAAAGTATTACATTAATATAATATTAAAATTTTTAAGAAAACAAAATGGATAAAGTACAAAATATGTTAAATGTCAGATTGATTGCAGCAGGCAAGCATATTGAACTGTCAAATCAATTTAAGAAATTAAAGACTGATCAGGAACGTATAGTATTTACTCTGAATCTAATGCAACAATATGATATAGTTCCTAGTGCAACTGGTATGTCAAAAAATGCCAAAGAATCTGAGAAATTGCGGGAGGAAGGCAATAAAGTTTTTGTCACAGGTATCTTGAATAACACGGCATGTATTGATGCTTTAAAATTATATACAAAGAGTATAGCCTTTGCACCTTATCCATCTGAACAACTTGCTCGTAGTTATGCTAATAGGTCAGCAGTTTTATTTAAATTAGGCTTGTATTCAGAATGCATTCAGGATATTGACAGAGCACTAGCCCTAAATTATCCTGACAATCTAAGAGTAAAGCTTTATCTGCGTAAAACAGAATGTTTAATGATTACGGGAAATCATTCTGTAGAACACACACTTAAGGAGGCACAGCACTGGCTGGAGAAGATGTCTATAAATGATACAAATCGAGAAAGATTAACTGCAAAGCTTAATGTTTTACATAATAAAACTACGCAGACAAATATAAATAAGAATACAAAAGTGAAAACAGAAGAAATTCCTGCTCTTCCTATTATTAAATCTTGCAATAACGAAGTTCCTTGTGCTTCAGATGCAATAGCTATAAAATATAATGAGCGTTATGGCAGACACGTTGTAGCTACTCGTAAAATTCACCCAGGGGAGGTAATTGCTGTGGAGAAACCTTATGCATTAATATTAGTGCAAGAAAATATGCAAACGCATTGCTCTAATTGTTTAAGGGTGTGTTGGGCAAACATACCCTGTAACTATTGTACTTATGCTATGTATTGTTCAGAAGAATGTAGAAATATCGAATGGGAGAAATGTCATAATATAGAATGTGTTGTCTTCCCTGCTGTGCTTGAATATTCCACTTATAATCTCGATTTGTGTAGCATAAGACTTGCTGTGCTTGCTTTAAGAGAAGCTGGTGGTATTGAGGAATTAAGAACAATGGTAAAAGAAGTTGACGAACACGATGGTATTTATACTTTTTTATAACTTATATAATATTTATACTTTTTTTCTTAAATAATGAAGTGATTTGTATATGTCATTATTTTTCAGATCCACGAACAAAAGGTTTTTCTCGAGATGGAAAATTACATAGCAATAGATACATTGGCGTATATAGTCTCGTGACAAATACCGAGAAAAGATCCGTTTCTGATCTTTTCAAGAGATCTTTTGATACTTCTTTTTTTGTATATTTTTTAGCGACGCGTACTGTGATATTTGGTGCTAAATTACCAGAGGATTTAAGCGGACTGGCGAAAAACAACGATGTTACATTTATTGGTAGTCTTATTTTAAGACATCAACAAATAATCCCCAGTAATATGCACAGTGTATGATGTCAACTATGTATATATAATATATTATATTGGTATTATGTGCCACATTTATTGTTTTTTACATCATTCTCCGATGTGTCAATGATTTTTTTAACATTTATTTTAAAACTTTGATTAATTTAAATCTGATATTTACAGTTTGGTGAAACGCAAGGTTTAGAATATCTAGAACGCGGTATAGCCGCTATGCCATTTTTTAGTTTAATTAATCATTGCTGCGATCCAAATATATTAAGACACTCAAGACCTGAACATATAGTGATATATGCCATGTATCCCATTGAAAAGGGCGAGCAGGTATTAAATTATTTATATTGTATAAATTGTTGATTTAATGCAATATATGTTATCTCGTTACAGTTATTAGACAATTATGGCAAACATTACGCCGTCATGTCAAAAGCACAGAGGCAACAGAAATTACTCGAACAGTATTATTTCATCTGTGATTGCTTACCTTGTCAGGAAGATTGGCCCTTATATGTTGAATTACAGTCATACCAAGTATAATAAATAATAACTTTAATTAATAACACAGGTCTGCAAACTTTGAATTTTTTTGTCCTTTGGAAAAAAGAAAACTTGTTTCCCATAGTTTGTGTTGAATCCGAATCCATAAGTGAAACTGTTCTATTACGTCAGGCTTTTGAAACAAATGAGGTTGAAAATATTTTTATATTAAAGTAAATAGTAAAGTATCATTTTTTATCGATATATTTTTATATTAAAGCATAATATATTCAAGCATTAATTTGTGCTCTTTTCAAAATGTCAAACATTGAGTTCATTAGTTGCGAATTTTCAAAAATAATAAAAAACATGTTTCAACTTTATTTTTCTCAAAAGCTGATACAATATTTTTTTTTATGGATTCGAATTCAGCACATAAAAAATTATATTAGAAAACTGCTATTCTTTTCCAAATAGCAAAAATGCAGACCTGTGCAATTTGTGCATTTTAATCGTATATTTTAATGATAATATAATGTTTGATTTGTTTTGGATATAGACATTAGTGAAGAAACCAGAGGATAAGGCTAAGATAAAAAAGGCGTTAAAGAAATTTAATATGTATGTTGATTTAGCAACAATAGGCAACGTGCCGAACAGACCTTATATCATTAAAGACTTATTGAAAATGGTACAAGTATTGCACGATTGTGCGCCGACGCCTTGCGAGGAAATGAGTAATGTTATCGAAACATTAAAACGGGTATATGACTTTAATGGGAATATATGTGAGATACCAGAAATACGAAAGTAAACGCGTTATATTTTTCGATTGATGAAACAACGTTACCATTTTTATGTGTATGATTAATAGCATCAAGAAGAACATTTTAAACTCTTTGAGAAAGAAAAATTAATATTTTTTACGATATATGTATATAAGAATTTTTTTGATGAAAAAATAATTTTTAAAGAGATATATTTTAAAAATATTTTAAAAAGTTTATACAGAAACAATGTTATACTCATTAAATGTATTTTTTTGACATATGTGTTATATTTTTAAAAGATTAAAGTTATGACAGACAATACTGTGCGCTCTCCTTTTCTTGTTGTCCTGCGTGTGTATTATTTCCTTGTATCCTTTCACTCACTTTGTTACGTATGCATGTAAGTAAAGTATGCAATTGAAGAAAGATATAAAAACGATATAAATTGCAAATAATACTGAGGTAGTATAAAATTGTAAAATACAACATTAAATTAAAAAATTCAATATATGTTCGCCTTTATAGTTATTTAAGTTGAGATAATATTGTTATATCAATGACAACCAAATAGTGATTGTTAAAAGAATCATCAATCCAACTGATCGATGCGTTGTCCCAAGATTATTGCTTAAACTTCTTTTAAAATTCTCGCCGTTTTTGTACGTAATTCGCCACTCCACTCCTGGATACACAGGGCTATGTTTTTGAAAATATTGTTCTAATGCCAGCTCCGTAGTAATACCTGTTAAAATTTAGCAAACGATTATATTGAAAAAATATTCAATAAATACGATGAGAAAAAAAGCTTGAAGATATTGTGAAATGAAAGTTACAATGTAAGCATACCGAGAGAGATTGTTTGAAGACCTTCCAGCATGTGAAAACCATCTCCGCCTTTTGCAAGAAAATCGTTTATGAAGACGTTGTAAGTAGCATTTTTTTGGAGTTCACTGTACGTTGGTATTCGGCAAGCTGCGCATTGAACATGGACTGAAATTACCCTTGAGTTCCGTGGTCGACTCACGTCATAGACCACCTGTAAAAACACGCAAATTTATCTTTAACGAAACACAGAATAGAACAATAATCAAGTTTTGGTGTTCAAATAATCAAGTGGAAGTTATAAAAATTAATACTTGAATAATTCTCTTTCGAAATAACGAGATTTAAAAAAAAGTTTAACTACCTGCAATCCTGAATATTGCAAATAAGCACCGAATAAATTCCCAGTAGAAGTTATGTTATCGATGTTATGAACGCTCCACTCCAGCATTGAAAGAATTTGTTCTCCTGTCATGGAAGCTTTGACGATGACATTTCCGAAGGGCAAGACACTTATAATATCTGCTCGAGTGACCTGTAAGTAATGTTATGATAACAGTTTGCGAATTAATCTCCTGAAAAATTTTTTCAGAGTTTTCTTTACACGAGAATCGGAACATTTTTCAGGACTATTTCATATATATGAATTCTAAAATATTCTAAGAATTTTAAGATTTCTCATTGTATAATTTTTGAAAAAATATCTTAAAATTTTTTATATTTTATAAGATCTTATTAGAAATTATATAATGAAATATTCTTACGAATAAATCTAAGAATATTTCAAAATTTATATGAAGAATTTTAGAAAAAAATACATAGACTTTCTTTAGGGTATTTCTGAAAAGTATCCCAATTTGTAAAAAAGAATCTGAGAAATTTTTTAAAAAGTTAAATAATTATTCAAAAAAAGTTAAATAATTATAAAAATTGACATAAAAATTGTATGAAAAATTATATGAAAAATTCTGAAAAAAATGTTTCATATAATTTTCATAAGTAATGCAAAGTGCATATCAATTAACCTGATCGTTTCTGGCTCTGGTGATGGACGATCTGATGCTGCCACTATTCTGCACCGCGATAGCGGTATCTGTCCATCCTTCCTTATTAAAATGTTCTCTGGCATACTACGAACAAAGAAAGCACATTAATCTTAAGATTATTTCGTAATGTTGACAACTAGGAAATGCAGTTCATTATATATCAGTTGGCGATCTTACGTAATCGATTATAGCATCGCAAATTAAATTTCCCATATTGCATTCTTGCCGTCTACAATTCTTGCTGTCTCCATCCAGAAATACTCGTGTTTTTCCAATCACTTGCTCTTGCAATCGGTCGATCGGTTCTCTTTTGTCGTTTATCATTCTTACTACATCTTCCGCCTATAAGAAACAATATAATAAATATCATAAGCTTTTATTTTTTGGAGAATTTCTGTACATGCAATTATTATTACATTACATTAAGAGTGTTTATTTGTATTTATATATTCAATATATAAACACATCTCTATTCGTTTTTTTCCGTAACTATCTTTTAAAGTATTGATTTATAATTAAGAATTATTTTGTATATATATATATCATAAAAAATTTATATCATATATATATTATACATTTATCATTCTCTTAAATTATAATCTATATAATATAGATTATATTTTTTGTCATTTGAACAATTTTGCATTTTTTCAAAAATTTACCTGTTTCACGTTGGCGTCCACGAGAATCGGATTTCCTTCTATATGCGTTACCTCTCCTTTAATATCGAAACTTACGGAAAAATTTCCTAAATATTTAGTGTAAGCGTATGCCTGTACGACATAAACTTTTCTGCCGCTTTTCTGTATTACTTCTGTAGGATAAAAACCTTCTGGTACCTCGACATCCGGCGATTTACCGCGATATAGAAAGGTATTCGTATGACCTCCGATTACCAAATCAATATCCTCGACTTCCCGGGCAATCTCCTTATCGGTCTTAAATCCCGAGTGACCCAAAGCGATAAGAATGTCGACACCCTGTTCCTTTAACTTCTTAACTTCTTCTCGGATACACTTCACTTCATCTTTAAAAATTACTTTTCCTGTACTTGACAAGATCTTCGTGTCGGGCGTCAGATAACCGATCACGCCGATCTTTTTGTCATTCACTATGAGAATTGTGCTGTTTTTCAGATTTGTGGCAGCTAAGTCTGGCTGCTCGCTGAGGTCCAGATTTGTTGTTAAGATGGGATATGTGGCATTTTGTATAAAAGGTATTAAACCTTCAACACCATTATCGAACTCATGGTTGCCCAAGCTCTGTCAGAATTTATTGAATATAATAACGCGAATTATTATACTTATACATACTTTTGTTTATAAATATTATTTACATTTATTTACAATTATTTATAATTTTATAGAACGAATTACATTTTATGCAGAAACACTAGAAGTACCAACGTTTCTTAAAAAAAGAATGCTAAAAATTTTTAGATATGTATCTAGTTAAATTCTTAAATATTTCAAAATCGTATATTAATTATTAAATTTACTAAGAAAAAGCAAATAAATTACTAAAAAAACTAAGAAAGTGAAAAATAAATAAATTTCAGAATCTTATTATGTATAAAAGAAATATAACATTAAAAATAAAAACGATCAATAATAACCGCTTTTAATTAAAAATTTAATTATAAACGAATTATAATTAAATTGAATTGAATTAATTTATATTAATAGTAATAAATTAACAAGAAATCTTTAGTTTTTTTATAATTTTAAAAATATTTTTATAATTTTTAGAGTCTTGTTCAGATGATATTTACTATAGCGTCTGGCGCCAAAAGGTTCATGAACCAAGCAACCGCTTCCCACTTGTACTTGTTGAACCACGCGGTTCCTTGATAAGTATCGCCGGCGTTCAGGAAAATCGTCGAAGGTGATTCCGATTTCGCTTGACGGACCAGAGTGGCAATTCTGGCGAAACCTCCATAACATTTCCCAGCTTTGGAATCCGCTGGCGTACACGCCGTCGACAATTGCGACGTCTCCTCAAATCTAAAAATATTATGTGAGAAACTCTCAGGGCTATACTTCATTTGGTTTAATTACATAAATTTTAACGTCAGAAAAAACAAGGAAATTGTCTCGATAAATAACTCCATGTGTAACTGACACATAGGTGTGGAAGATAATTAACTATCTTAACATTTGTGATTAGCTCGGTGGCGATAATTGTTGTTGGTGTGATAGAATTGGATTGATAATGATCATATATGAAGAGCAAACATAACTTAAATAATTCAATTATTAAAAAAAAATTATTAATCTTTTGAATTACTCGAATTTGCACAATTATTTTTTGTTTTCCCTGGTAAAAATTTTTCTCAGAATTTTTCATATAATTTTTTAGAATTTCTATATAATTTTATAACTTTCTCACACATTTTTTTATACGAATTGGTATACTTCTCAAAAAATCTATAGCTTTTTTCAGAATTTTTTCAGAATTTTTTATATATGTTAATTAAAAAATAAGATTCGTAAGATTTCTAAGATTTTTTTGTAAGTATAATTTCTGATGAAGTATTATAAAATCTAAAAAATTTAAAAATATTTTTTAAAAATTATGAAATGAGAAATTTCAGAATATTTCAGAATTCATTTGTATGAAAAATTTTGAAAGAAGATGTAAACTTTCCGAAAACTTTCTGAGTATTTCTGAAAAATGTTTTAATTCGTATAAAAATTATGAAAAAAATTTTTACCAGAATTGCGATGAGAAACAAAAATATTAAATATATTAACATTTGTATTATTCTTAGGCTAATATTACATTTGTCGACAAAGACATTTCAAGTCTATTGATTGGCTGCAAGAAAGAGAAATTGTCGGATCTCTCCATCCTGTAGCCAATCAATAAACTTAAAATCTTTGTCGTGCGACAATTGTAATATCAGTATGCATAGTGAGATATACATAATAATAGTGAGAATTCCTAAATACCTCGCGTGCATGTCATTTGTGTGAACAATTCTAATGGTAAATTCTTCATCTTTCCGTAAAATGGGATTTGCGAAGGCTTCGTTTGCAATTATCAGCACGACAACGTAACAGTTTACGAATGAAATGATTGACATCTTCTATTGTTACTGGTTCCAGACGTTATTATTCCGAGAGTTTTTCTAGAATTTCTTCTTTATTATCTGGTATCTTGTTATTGCATTTAATGTCGATAGGGCACGCTT